TGCTCGTTACAGCCCGGGAGTTAACTGTGGCGGAGGCGATGGCTATTGTTTCTTCACTTCCTCTTGTTATTTCCCCTCTCCGCAGATGGGGAGATCACTTCCAAGCCAATGGTGCTATTCCTGGGACCGTGGAGCGTCGGCAAATCCTCCATGATAAACTACCTCCTGGGGCTGGATGACACTCCCTACCAGCTCTACACAGGTACCGCGCTCACCGCTCGCTCCCTGCTCCGCCAAGGGCGTGCTGGCACTCGCAGCTCTGCATCCGTGTGGGCAGTGGTTCCTGGCCGTGTCCCTTTGATTCCCCGCTGTCAGGGCAGGGCGGTTGTGATCTGGTCTGTGCTGCGGTGCCATGGGGAGGGAGAGGGTCCCCACGATGGCCCGGGGCCTGTCCACCCTCCCCGGGGAGGAGGAGGGCATCTCGCCCTGCAGCATCCCTGTTCCCCTTGTCTTCTCCCCTTCTTTCCTCACACCGAGCCAATTACTTTGCCCTCCCCAGGAGAAAAGAAGCCGTTCCCCTGCCCTTCTCCCTGCTCCCACAGATGTCACCTCGCAGGGGAGGGCAGATGTCCGTGGGCTCCAGGGAGGTGGGTCTCCAGAGCACTTTGTGCAGTCAGGCCACTTCCAGAACAACCAGTCCCTGAAGAAACCAGCCCTGCTGGGATCTTCTCCAGAAGTTTGGCAAGAATTTCATGACCCTGCTGCTTGCCTTCCCCCAGCATCTCTTGGCAAGCGAGCGATGCTCCCAAGCTCCCCGGCCAGTCCCAGCCCTGTCGTGTCCATCGCCCAGCCTGGATTTCACAGCTCTGCTGCTCCTCTCATTGCTGTGCAGGGGCAGAACCCACCACCTCTGAGTTCACTGTCATCATGCACGGCCCCAAGCTGAGGACCGTCGAGGGCATCGTGATGGCTGCTGACAGTGCCCGTTCATTCTCGCCCCTGGAGAAGTTCGGGCAGAACTTCTTGGAGAAGCTGATAGGGATCGAAGTGCCCCACAAACTGCTGGAGCGAGTCACCTTCGTGGACACACCGGGCATCATTGAGAACCGCAAGCAGCAGGAACGAGGTAGGGGTTTGCTGGGTTTGTCTAAGGGTCTCCAGAAAGATGCCGTAACAATGTGAGGTGCCAAAGATGGCCAAAGCACAGCGGGGAACAGCCCTGGGCTACAAACAGGGTCTTGCACTGGAGAGGATGGTGACATTTGTCTGCCCATGGCCACGGCAGCAGCAGCTGGGGCCTGGGGAATGTACCCAATGGTCATCAGCTAGAGCAGCTGCTTCTGCTGTCTGGAGGTGTGACAGTCAGGTGTTTTGGCAGCGTGTTTCCTGGGGACTCCTCGGGCTGTTGGTTTAATGCCCCGTTTGTCACCTTTGCCAGGGGCCAGTGCCACAGCAGGGCCCAGGGGAGCACCATGCCCACAGCACCTGGGACGCCAGGACACCAGCAGGGCTTCTTGACCCACTTGGTGCCCACTGAGGAAGGCAATGACATGGCCAATATCTGCTCACAGGAGCAGTGGGAATCTGTGGCCAGCAGCAGGGAGAAAGAAGGTTTGGGGGTGAGGCTGAGCGAGACACGCAGCGGCAGGCCCAGACACACAGGGATGTGTTTTCATGCCAAGAAACTCTCGAGTGTTTTCAGCACATGAGAAACAGATTCTGGGTTGCATGGGGAGTCTGCTGTCTCACACCCCGTCCAACCCAGACAGGGCGTGAGACACAGCAGGCTCAAGGTTTATGTGTCCCTTGACCTGGAGGGACTCATCCTGCACTGGCCATTTCTGCTGGATTTCTCTCTTTCCTCTCCTCAAGGTTACCCATTCAACGACGTGTGCCAGTGGTTCATTGATAGAGCTGATCTCATCTTCGTTGTCTTTGACCCTACAAAGCTGGATGTGGGCTTGGAGCTGGAGATGCTGTTCCGCCAGCTGAAGGGACGCGAGTCTCAGATCCGAATCATCTTGAACAAAGCTGACAGCCTGGCTACCCAGGAGCTCATGAGAGTCTACGGTGCCTTATTCTGGAGCCTGGCTCCACTCATCAACGTCACGGAGCCGCCCAGGGTGTACGTTAGCTCCTTCTGGCCCCAGGAGTACCATCCGGATACCCACAAAGACCTGTTCCTCAAAGAAGAGATCTCACTCCTGGAAGATCTCAACCAGGTGATTGAGAACAGGATGGAAAATAAGATCGCCTTCATACGCCAGCACGCCATCCGGGTGCGCATCCACGCCCTTTTGGTCGATCGCTACCTGCAGACCTACAAGGACAAAATGACCTTCTTTAGCGATGGAGAACTGGTGTTCAGGGACATTGTGGAAGATCCTGACAAGTTCTTTATCTTTAAGTCCATTCTGGCAAAGACCAATGTCAGCAAATTTGACCTCCCCAACCGCGAGGCTTACAAGGACTTCTTTGGCATCAACCCCATCACCAGTTTTAAGCTGCTGTCTCAGCAGTGTTCCTACATGGGAGGGTGTTTCCTAGACAAGATCGAGAAGGCCATCACTCGTGAGCTTCCCGATCTCTTGGGAAGCATTGGCTTGGGGAAGAAGCCCAACGTTCTCTCCTGCGACATCACTGGCTGTGGCGAAACCCCAAAGAATCGCTACAGGAAACCCTAAGGTGTTCCATAATATAACCGTCCACGTGTTCCTACCAGTGAATGAGCTTATGTCTTATCTGTCCAAGAAGCCGTGGTTTGTTAACCCTTTGAGTGCCACACTGGCAAAGGCTACTGTACGATGAGGACTTTGAGTCATTGACATCGATGGCAGGGGAAGATGGGTGGGCATAAGAAAGAGAATAAAAACTGTGAATTCCTGACATTTTATCTTTGTTCTTTTGAGTAGAAGGCAATGTTTAAGCTGTAAGTATGAGCAATGCACGGTGAGCTGGAACTGTAGCTGCTTTTTCACTGGTGCCAAGAGTGTGTGAACAGGAATTTCAACCTCTGCATCCCCGAAGCCATCAGTGAGAAAGAACCAGGGCACGGCGTGAGAGCACGGGAGAGAGCAGTGACACACCAACCCAGGGCATCACTGGGAGCCCCGGGGGGCAAAGCGCTGGGCAAGGAGAGAGAGGCCAGGTCCCATCTGTTTCTTTCAGGCACAAACATCTCACAAATCTCTGCAAATATTGACCTTGTTTTTCTTTCCAAGACTTTTAGGTCACCCAGTGAGTTCTCCTTTCGCATATCAACTGAGTTGAACTTCTGCAGCCTTCGCCTGGGTGGTCGCCCTAAGAAGGGGCTTTTGTGGGGGCATTTGTACCTCCAGACAGGTAGCCGTGATGGGATTTGCAAGTCCACATCAGAGGAAGAAGTGGGTCGGAAAGGAGCTGAGCTGTGCTGGAGGAGGAGGGCCAGCACCCCAAACCACACGGTCCCACAAGGAGCCGGGAGCAGGTTTTCCTCTGTCTGGGCCAGCACAGGGACAGGGCACTTTGTGCCTGCATGTGCCATCAGCCTCAAAACCCGTGATGGCAGGTCAGGCCTGAGGATCAGCAGGGCTTCGAGGGGCAGGGGTTTGGCAGTTTGACCTCACTCAGGCCCATGTTGCTGTTTTCTCGGCCAGACCCCCATGGTTTTGCCCTCTGTGGAGGGAGGCAGGAGCGGGGGGTCACTAGCTGCATCCTTTGTCCCATCTGCTGGTCTGTTCTCCCTGGGACAATCCAGGCAGGTTTCTGTGGCTTGTTCCTCAAACTTCCCCCATTTTTGCTGTGATTTTGTTGGCTTATCGCTGCTCACTAGTGCTTTGCCCTGGGAGGAGAAGGAGTACTGCTTTGGAAGCACCCCAGCAGGGTGAGGTTCCCTGTTGCCAGCCAATGTTGAAAACCAGTGATGACAGCCGGGGGATGAGGGGTGGCCTTGTCACTTGGTCCTCGCCATTGGGCTGCAGCACGGCTGGCTGCCGAGCCTGGCACAAACCCACCAAGAGGTGTATGTTGCCCTGGGTGGAGAACAGTGGCTTTGAGCCCACCAATGACCTGCTGAATGTCCTTTCTCCTTCCTCCTGCCAAACGACCACATCCAACGCTGCTCTCCAGGGAACCTCTGGAGCAGAGGGACTTACCCTTGGCAGGAATGAGAAGACATGGAGGTGCTGGGTGAAGCAAGAAAAAGGCAAAAGGAATGAAAGAGGGAAGGAGAAGGCTGGAAATGGAAGGCTCTGTTGGGATGGGAAGGGTGTGAAGGGCAGTGGCCCTCATCTCCATGTGCCCAATGGGACACGGGCTTGGGCAGAAGGTCCACGGGAGCTCCATGTCCCGGGCACTGAGGCCAGACACTGCAAAGAAGAGTCCATGTGAGTCTGGGGGCACATTGCCCCCGGGAATTTCCCATGCTCCTTGCCTCTGCTTCACAGTAGGACTCTACCTTTGAACTAATGAAGATGAGATCCAAATCTACGTCCAAGCACGGGAAGGGACACAGCTTGCACAGAGGGATTTTGCTGGCTGCGCAGAGGGGACTGGAGGTATGAGCAAAGGCAAGCAGAGTGTCAGAAGCAGCAGCAGCCAGAACAGCCTGGAGAGCAGCGATGTGCTCATGAGCCAGCGCCGTGAGGTCTCAAACCTGCCCCGAGCTGCAGTCTACCCCCGCTGCTGTGCCTTCTTCCTCCTCGTGCACGATCCCGCGGCTCATCGGTGCGTCTCTCTGCCTCGCCCACTCCTCCTTGCCTCTCACTCTCCTCCGCCAGGCTCATCTGCATGGTTTTCTTAAGAGCTAATGGAATAGAAACACAACAGAAATGGGCTAATATTGTCACTGTTCCTGCTGTCACACTGCGTGTCACTGTCACAGCAAGCAAAAGCCATCAGATGTTTCCATTTGCAAGCACTGCATCGTGACATCCCTTTCCTCGCTGCCCTGTCCCCTCAAAGCCTGTGGGCTCTGGGGTACCCAGGGAAAGGCCCCCCATCCCAGGAAGGAGCTCTCAATCTCCCTTATGGCCTTCAGCCCGCAGGCACCATGGCTCCGCTCTCAGGCCGCTCCCACCATTCTCCCCATCCCCTCCCCATTTCCCTTTTCTTTTCCTTTATTCTCAGCACCCATCGCCTCCTCTCCTCCCCTTCTCTTCCCTGCAGCCCCCACACACCCTGTGCAAAGCCCATCTGCCATGTCCAGGATGGGGCTCCCCTATGACGGCCAAAACTGTGTTTTCCCCCCGATATCGTACCTTAGGGTTCTCTTTCCAAAGCGATGGCAGCAGTGGTCCAGAGCTGGGGCTGTTTTCTGCTCCCCGTGACGCATGCCGACGCGGGTCTGTGCCGGTTTGGGCCGATGCTGACACCGAGATGTGTTCTCTCCCATGGATCCACGTGGCTGTCGGTGCCACGAGGACTGCGGTCCCCAGCCCAGATCTCTCACAGCTTTCTCAGGAGAGCTCTGGGAATCTGGGGGTGGAAATGGGGAGCAGGGAAACCTTCTCATTTTGCCAAGAAGCCCCAGGCCTGTGTGTCCGCGGTGCTGGAGGGGTGAGCATCTCTCATGAGAGCCTTGCAGGGGGGGGGAGCTGGGGCACAGACCCACACAAATGCCCGTGATTGTGTGCATTGGGATAAAACTGTCAGCTTGAACATTATCCTGTCTAATAAAACCTGGTATTTTCCAAACAGACTCCCTGGAGATGC